CTAGAGGTAAACCACGAAATATATGAATGTAAGAATTAAAAAACGATATGATGGTTCAGGAATTGGATGAAAATGTGATTGTTGATAGAAATGAGTGGCACAAGAAAATTCAAACTACAACCTAACTTGATTATCTTATTTGATTTTTCATATAACTGACCCCATAATATAAGATATAAAACATAATGTGTTGCTGTTGTTATATAATGTAATACAAAAAAAATTATTTTATAGGTAAATAATTAATAAAAAAGTTAAAAACTAAACCCAATTTTTAAAAATATTAACTTAGCTTGTAATAAATTGTTTTGATGTTTATGTTAATAAAATGTGATCATCAAATATCATTTATATTAAGAAATTAAAAAATAAAGAAATTCTATGCTAAAAAATTATAAAATAAAAAAATTACATATCAACAATCCAAATTAATTTGTTTAACAATTGTTATTTCTATTTAAAAACTATATATGGCATAAAAGTTAGAATAAGATGGGATAAAAAATTTAAATTCAAACTCGAAACTGTATTTGGTTCATAAAATCACTCTTAAGTAATGACATGAACGTATAGGTTTAAGAGTTTAAATTTTAACACTTATGATTTATTTTTTTATTCGGTTATCTCCAAATTATACCAAAATAAAATAAAATTCAAATATATATATATATATATATATTAAAGGATTAAATCCCATTTCTCAAATTGTATCCAATAAATAATATATTGAAGGATTCATAGAGTTTTTTTTTTTTTTTTTTTTCACTGCCTAAGAGTCTCTTTTAAGTCTGTGTGTGAATATATCTTATTGTCAGTAGGTTATATCTCTATTCTGTCATTTCCAAAAAGATGGTGCATGAGGGCTGCTTTTAGCTTTCAGCACCATTACATTATAAAGATATATAATTAGTATATGAATCACAACCGGAGATTATCTTAGTACAACTACCCAAAACTTTTATCTAAAAATCAAATTACATACCTTCCATCACTTGATAATAATTAGATATGTAAACGGCAGAATATATCCAAAAAATTGAAAAAAAAAAAAAAAACCTGAGATATGTGTGTCAGAGAAGGTAGCATGGATGGTGATAGGTGGGGAATGGGAATATAAAATTTGGCCAATCATCCCGACTGGGAAGGGCTGGAGGTCTTGCCATTTGAGAGGCCAGACAAGGTTGCATTAATCACGGGCAGACATAAGCCAGCTCAATAACATTGGCATAAGTGCTACAAATTGGAGACATTTGGGATTAAACTAAGGCAGGTTTTCATAGTGGATATAATTCTTTTCCCATTATAAATTAACCTTATGCATTTATTAGTTAGCTAGCTAGGGAGCTATATATAAATTTATATTTTCCTGTTTATTTGTTACCACTAGTGTAGTAGCTAATCTGGCTTACATAAACTAAGAATTGGAATTCAAAACATGCATGCAAAATTTATATACGTATAATTTAAATCATTCATGAATTTACAGGTTATTTATTTAATTCATGTAATTATTTTTAAGAGACGATATCTAATAAATTTAGAATCAAATTTCAATAATTATAATATTTTTACAACCTTTTTTATTAAAAAAAAATCAATTACCATGCGCCAAATTAAGCTCGTGCTAAGGTTTTCGAATCCTTAACTCCTTAATTAATTAGAAAATATTAAAGAGAGAAAATAAGTAGTTCAATTAATAAATCATTGCATATCTGATATGTATCCCCCATATATACATTAATATAAAGCACCATATAGAAGACTTGAGAAAGAAAAAATAAAACAGGGAGAGAGAGAAAGATAAATCGAATAAGAAAATTGAAGAGATCTGACAAACATTATAAAATAGCTAATAATTAAATAAGAAAGCAAGATATGGAGCAGAAATGGATATATATTAGAATGTAAATATTGGGTCCAGTGGAATGTTGATTTTGTCGTATAGTAAGGTAGGGGGAGACATTGCCTAGACGTTAATGTGGGAGGCATGCTTAAGACAAAGCACAACAGAACAAGAAGAAGCCTTCAATTAAAAAAAGCCTAGTATTAGGACATGGATTACTGTAAATGAGGAGAAGCATAATTTCGTTTTATTAAATCATGGGGAAAAGAGTACGTAAAACATTATAGTAGTATTTTTTTTTTTTTAATGTGATTGGGGGTACCCTAAAGGCAATTCTGGCTCTATGCCTCTACCCAATGCCCTTAATCATCAACCTAAGTTTGAAACACACTTTATCAAGATTAAGATATGTCCAAATCACTCAATTATATTAATCGTAAATAATAATAATAATAATAATCTAGGCTGATAATCAAGATCATTAGCATCGTGATAAGGAAGAATAATTAAGCAGGTTGTAATTTGCCACTAATGCACAAGTGTGTGACCTAGATGTGTGTATATATATAGAGAGAGAGATGTGATTAAAGAAATGATGAAAATTAGGGTTAGCATGTAATCATAGATGGGATCACATGCTTGATAGCATGCTTTGATTCCTTTAACAAAAGCTAAAAAACACCAAATTAGAAGAGAAGGAAATCTACCCTAACCACATGCTTCTTGGGGACAAGCATATCCTCAATTAAACCTCTTTTCTTTTATTTTTCTTTTGTCTTTGTTCGTTTTCTTTTTAAATGATCAAGATTCTTAATTAATTATATATATGCTTCTCTAAGGTAGCATGAGGAGATCCCAAAAAGTAATGCAAATTATATCTTATTTCTCACTACATTACAACTCAAAGCCCTAAACCCTATAAAGGAGTGGAAATGAATTTATATATTAAATAATGTATTAAAAAAAGTGTATTTGCATGTTGGATTACTGTCACCTTTGCTTAAAAGAACATTTCAAGCCTTGGGGTACTGCAATTGTCCTTGCTTTTTAATTTTTGTAGTAACACAAAGATCTCTGATTTGGGTGCCCTTTTGTTCATTTTTTTTTCTTCCCACCCTTCAAAAATGGCAAGGAAACTTCGTCATTGGTCTTTGCACCATGGGGAAACTCATAATCTTACCGTTTCCCATGAAATCTCTCTTTTAAAAAGAATGTTTGGGTTACAATATATCCTTTACACGATTTCTTTTTCCCCTTGAAGTTCTTGAAATTAATTGTTAGTGCTCAAATTAACAATATATATATATATATATATATAAATAGATAGATAGATAGATAGATAGATAGATAGATAGATAGATCAGTATATCACCCTGTTAATTTGGATATATGCTATAGACCCGCAACTAAGAAAATCCAGTTGAAATAAATTAATAGGAAGAGATAATATGCAACTTTCGAATTAAAAGATTGCTTCATAAATTAATCTACAATTGAAAAATAAGTTACTGTCAATGCTGGAATTCTAAGGAATCCTTTGAAAGCAATTGTATTTATTAAGTTTATTATCAATGATTATCGCTCTAAAATGCATTACATATACTAACTATTTACAATGTTTATGTCTATAGTCTTTAAATAAGTGTCTTGATCAAGACACTAGTTAAAGCAATTTATTATTCATTTTGGATCCCAATGGCAATGGCCAAAATAATAGTTATGATGTCTATATGAAGTTTTTGGTTCCATTCCCATCTTACGTTTTCATAATCATTAACAATAATAATACAATAAATTTGTAATTTAATTCAATTGATTTATATAATTAATTTTAAAAAAATAATATCAGTAAATTTGAAATTCAAATTTTAACAATTATATTTTTTTTTACAATTTCTTTTTATTATCAAACTATAATTTTTTTTGTAATAATAATAATAATAATTGTTATTTAAAGATGTACGGAGGGATTGTTAATTTAAATAGCTATGGATTTTACAATTGTTTTTTTTTTCCTTTCAAAATGTGCCAGAATCCATGGTAATTAATCAAAGTGTGTGCGCACATCAATGCCTAAATAGTGTAACTTTAACGCCAAGAAGGAGCTTAAAAATCTATCAAATTTCTTTCGGGTTTCCCAGTCTTAACTGGTTTCCATTAACCAAAATTATTTTAAGTTTTTAAAAAATCAACATCGATCTGCTATTGCAATTAACAATTTAATTTTGCTTTATTGGGTGTGGTTATAGGAAGTTTCCATCAAAGGGATTGTCTCCTCTGTTCAGAATTGGCTCAATTAGGCTACCCTCAAGTCCTGATTCCTATGCTCTTAGGCATTTGAAATTTAATTTTCAACTTTAAATTTTAAAGGTGACCTAACCACTTCTACGAGTATAGGCTTTTATGTATGGTTATGCCATAACTAAACGCCCGATTATTTGCAACCGAACATTTGATTTAATAGTTGATATAGAAAAAAATACATATTCCGTTGCCCATTAAATATGTTTCAATGTACAAGCTGAAAGCCTTAATTATAATAAAGTCATAATTTAAAGTCTCACTATTTGAAGCGTTCACTTTGATGGCTAGCTTAATTTATCAAAATTTCCAATTTTATGTTTTTTAATGCCTTATAAGTTCTAACCTTTCCCAGTCTAATTGTGACAAAAGCTTTGTAGCTATATTAAGAATTCAACTTCAAGAAAATCCAACAGGCATATTGACCTAAATTAATAATCAGTAAACTTATTTTGTTTTCATTATTCTATGCAAATAAAATGTTTAAAGCATCAAAGTCTGAATGAATTGTCACTAAAATGTTAAATTTTTAATTTTAATGATCGGATTCAAATTTGATAATTATTTAAAGCAAAGTAAATTTGATAATTCTGAAAAGAAGGCACTTAAAATTTAAGTTGGCAAAGTGTCAAAAATGGAATTTTGGTACTTTTGGAAAGTCGATTCATATCATATAAAAAATTTTTTTTTGTTAGTATGAGTCTTGAATTCTGTTCTTCCCAATGGCCGAAAAAGAAGGAAAAATATTTTAAGAAATGAAAGTGACATTTGGCTTGTCATGCATGCTGCAGCTGCTAATTCCATACACAACAACAATAGATTTTAATCACAACAATCAATTTCATGAATTGCATAATATTACAAAACTGTGTTGCAAATATACATTACATACATATTGTAGAGACAAAGGGATATGAAGAAACCTATCTACTCTGTTAGCCATTTGCCTAAATCCTGAAGAAACTGAAGCAGAGATTCCAAAGCCAAAGGGCAAAAAACACTTTTTTGGTGAGAAAAAACTACGACCATGGGATTTTGGGGGAGGGGGGTCAGTTCTAGCAAAAGCCGAAGGCAATTGGCAAGATATGTAGAGACGACAACTTTTTCTTTCTTCTTCTTTTCCTTGCAAAATATCTCTAATTTTCAACGATCTCATGCTTTAAAGGCAACAATAGAGATGGGTATTTTTGGGGTCACTCGACTTACTAGCATTCGCGCAGGCACACACAAGAGTTAGGTACTTATACGAGATGGGATCAAATCAAAACCCTTCATCTCCGAGGAACAGTGGATTCAGACAGAGGTTGAAAGATGATTGGTGCTCCATATTGTGGATAAAGTAGCATCAGAACCGTCGGTGCATGTTGATAAGTTGGGGCCAACCTAAAGGAGAAGCGTTGAAGTATGATAGAAAGGGCTAACTTTGCTTGCAAAATGGCTAGGTTTTGCCCAATGCAAGTACGGACGCCAAGGCCAAATGGGATAAACCCAACAGGATGTTTCGCTGCACGTGCAACGCCCTCGGAGAACCGAGCCGGGTTGAACTCATTAGCATCGCTGCCCCATATGGCTTGATCGTGATGAACGGCCAAGATTGGTATCAAAAGCTCGGTCCCACGAGGGATCATGTAACCCCCTAGCTCTGCATCAGCTTTGGCCCGTCTAATTGTGGCTATTGTTGGTGGGTACAATCTCAGGGATTCATTTAAAACCATAGTCAGCTGCACACCAGAACATTGGAACCCAAAATCAGAAATGTTTTCTCAATGTGGACTAATATACCCATTGTGAAATGATACGATTTAGACCATTTCCCAAGTTAAATAGGGAGAAGAAAATAACAAAACTGCCATTAGTAGGTTTTTTTTTTCCCATTAAAAAAAAAAACAAAAAGGATTTTTTTTTTTTTTTTGGTAAGAAACGATTGGACAGAGGACAAGAGTTTTATAGTTATCTGAGGAAAACAACAGGAGCTAAGAGACAAGACATGATTTTTGTCTTTAATTCAGAGGGAAGATGGGGGGTGGGGGGTTAGGCTTTTACCGTCTTAAGCTTTACAACATCATCTTTGGTGGGTATGTCACGTGATCCACACACCCTTAGCACCTCCTCACGTGCTTGCACCTGCCACTGTGGGTGCATTGCTAGAAGAACAGTCGTCCATGTCAGCAAATTGGATGTGGTCTGTTTGCCCGCAAAGAAAAAGCTCTTGCACTCTTCAATTATGTCATGGACAGTGATATTTGGACTTGAATTAGAGGCTTGCATCATTAATCCTAGCAACTCCTTCGGTCCATTCTCTTGCATTATGTTCCCCGAATTCTTTTTCCGGCGTTCTATTAGCTTCATCAACGACTTCTTAATCTCCCTGTCCAATTTCCAACAACTTATATTCCTCTTTGTCGGAAAAAATCTGAAATTAAAATACACCAAACACGATTAATCCCTTTTTGAAGAGTAGCACTGCGCGTGATAAGGATCCAAAACCTTTGATATGTGAAAAAAAAAAAAAAAAAAAGGACAAAGATGATGATTTACGTGATTTTAATTTATGGAAATTAAAATTACCTATAGCCAGGGATGAAAACTTTTTGAAATGCCTCGGCGGCAAGCACCATTTGTTGGGCTTGTAGACGAAAAATGGCCTTTCCATCTTCATAGCTGCTGCCGAAGGCGGTACGCGTAATGACATCTTCGGTGAGGGTCTGAAACCACTCGCTAACTTCAATTTCAATCTCACCGGAGCTGGTTGACATTGCTGACCATTTGTCTATCATATCAGTTACTCTTTGTGCCACCACTGGCACTAGCAACTACAATAAAAAAAAAATTGAATAATATTCACGGGGTTTTCTTTTAATTAAAAATTATGGAGAAAATAATTAATGTATTAAATGCTTACTTTGAGATTCTCCATATGGAAAGTGGGGGTTATGATTTTTCTATGATGAGCCCATTTTTTACCTTTGAGACTAAGCAGGCCATCACCTTCAAGCTGTTTAATAAGAGGGTGGGCTTCGTTCTTTTCATAGAATTCACACTTGGAAGTGAAGATTTCCCTAATGAGATCAGGGTCAGAGACTGTGAGGCGAACCGTAGGACCAAACCAAACAAGAAATGTTGCACCTGGTTTAAGGAAAAACAAATTAAGATGATAATCAAATTAAACAAATAAAGTTATAAATGAAGAAAGCAGAACGAAATTCATGAAGAAACAAAAGCAAAAAGGAAAAAAAAGAAAAAAAGAAAGAGAAGGTTTTTACACCAAGGAGGGAGTGGCAGGGAACCTCAAGTAGTAAGTATCAAGTTTGCAAAAGAGGAAAATGAGCAGGAAAGAAATGACAACCATTAATTCAAAGGAAAGCATGGATAGTGTAGGACCCTACAAAGAGAAAGAGAGAAGAGAGAAGAAGAAAGCCAAAAGAAAGTGGGAAGAAGACAACTCAAAACTGTGGTACTAGCAAACATATACAACTTCATTATCAGAATTCAAGCTCCTATCAAACAAAAGGAAGATGACATATAAGAAAACAGAAAAAGGAAAGCAAATGATAACGCCACTACCAAAGAAGTGCAAAAACACAGCAGTTCTTTTTTTTACCATGGGGAATGGCAAGTTTTCATTAGTGGTAATAGTAGTATTTTGAAAAGGATGGAAATATGGGGGCAATATTACAAAAATATAAACATAGAGAGAAAAAATGTAATTATGAAAATCAAGGGTTTTATTTTATTCATTTTTTCTTAATATCCGTAAGGAGAAGGGTGCAAGAAAAGAAGGAAAAAGAAATAGAGAAAGAAAGAGAAGAAAACAGAAGTGAAACCGTCCAAAATTTCTGAACTTCAACATCAAGCATCCAAGCTCAGAAAAAGCTGTAAAGTTTAAAAAGAAGTACCCAAACTCAAAAAAAAAAACAAGCCTTTTGAAAGACACAAAATTTGAAGGATCGACCATAAACCAAGATAAAGGCCGAAGCATCACAAAAAGAAGCTCAATCCCGTCTACTTTAATAATGATGATCGAAAAACAAAAAACAACTCTCTGCTTTGCTTTAACAAAGGACTCAAGAAACCACATTAACACACTTAGACTCACACACCCCCACCTTGAAAATTATTAATGGTTCCCCAAAAGAAAAGAGGGTCTAAAATCAAACCCCTTGTGTAAATGTGACTCTGGGGAGAAGAAGAAATGAAAGAAGGAGAAGAATAATGAAGAATATGTATACATGAAGCAATAGTACCATAGATTTTCTTCCAATGATGGTAGAAAGAGAGAACTCTGGGGAGAATATTGTGAGAGAAAGGCATAGGCTGAGAAGAAGCCTTTAACATCATGCCCACAAGCTCCTTTACATTTCCAATGAAGAAATGGTAAGGAGGTCCCCTGATTCCTTGCCTTGAGAAATGGTCTTCAATCTTCCTAGGTCTCCACCAAAGCAACACTACCACTTTTAACACCAAAACTGATACCATGAATGATATGACAACCAGCTTCAACCACCGGAATACCTCCTCCATATTCCTTGAACAAGAAAGAAACAAAGAAGAAAAAAGAAAGAGAAGTAGCTTTGGCTTTGGCTTCTCTCTTTGCGCAAAGTTTTCCTCCTTAATGTGGAGCAGCCTTTTTGTTTTTGTTTCTTATCTTCTTTAGCTTATGTTGGTTTACTTGCTACCCTTTCTTGCCCTTTATTACTTCTATGAAAAAAGAGAGAGAAAAAAATTTTAAAAACAAAAGAAAGTGAGCGAGGGAGTGATTAAGCAAGCCAGGGCCAATGGCGTAGGGGCCGCCATTGGAATTCTAAGGGTCAACGTGAGGAGTTTGTTTAATTCTATAATATAAAATCAAAACTTATGAGACAATATTATCCTTGTCTTTTGCATTTTTTTTTTCATTTTTGTATCATTTTATTCTTTTGTGGGGGGCTCATTGGTCCATCTCTCAATAAATAGAATAGAATTTTTTTAACTTATTACAAGAAAAAATAACCCAAAAAATTAATACTATTTGATGTAAAATTTAGTTAATAACAAAAATAGTAGAATTTTTTTTGGAATAATAAGGCATATGGACATGGGAGTACATTCTTTTATAAGAATGTCCCCTTATTATTAATTACTACTAATACATTGAAAGCATTAAAATTGAGAAACACACCTAACCAAAATTTCAATTAAAAGGTGCTGGTCCCTATGGTTAATTTCATAGTCATTTTCCAAAGAAATCCTACAAAGACCATGTTAAATTTAAAATGAAATGATTTTAATTGATTTTAATTTATCACTAGCTCTTAGCTAGCTTGTTGCATTTTCTAATATTAAGGCATGATTGAAGGGAAACAAAGATGAAGTACACCAGTATTACATGTGTCTATTATATGTATTTACATGTGTATATATAAATGTGTGTTTATATGTGCGAATAGGTAGGATCTTCTAGATAACTGTGGAATTTAAAACATGAATGTTTTCTTTTTGGTGGTCAATTGTTAATGTAGAGTTTTCAATTTTGCTAACTTATTTACAATGGGAATGTCTCCAAATCCCTTGAATGACTATAATTCAAGTCTTTAATTTTTCATAACCTTCAAATTCATTGACATATCTAGTTGGGATTAATTGTTTATTTCCATTCAATTTTCTAAGTTATTTATATCATGATGAACCAAATATTGTTTCAAATTACAACAAATAGATGAAAAAAGTAGATATCTCATTCCCAAGATGGAGGAGTTTTTTAGCTTGAGGTTTTTCTCTTGGATTTATATATGGCCTTTTATCCTCCAAATCCTTAATTAAAATTTTTTGTTAAATAAAACGTGCACCACATCATGCTTGAATTTGAGCTAATTGTGCTAAATTAACTTTTAGTTGTAGTGATTATATTCAATTCTAGACAATCTTAATTTAAAAAAAAAAAAAACTAAAGCTATTTTTAAATCAATTTTTCATTTTTTTTGGTAAAAGAATCCATTTTTGTTATAATAACTATTTTATCACTTCCTAGTTAAAATCATTTTTTTAAGAGTAATTACCTAAGGTTAGCCAACATTCTTTTTTCCTTTTTTTGACCAAATAGTTTTTTTCTTTTACATTTCAATTCTCAACAAACCCAAAAAGTCATAGAATTTTGAAAATTTGATATGTTATACATAACTTAAAGATATCGTAAAATCATGTTCCATCTTTTTTATTTTATACATATGTTGTCCAAGTTTAAGATAATTAATAGTCAGAAAGTCAAAATGGATCTACCTATATAAGACTTACAGTTCTTCCAGTGTTTTCTGATGAAATTTTCTTTTCTTTTTTTAAATTTTCTAATTTTTTTTAGAAAGATTAAGAAAGGTTTCGTCAATTAGGAAACAATAAAAGCATAAAAAAACAAAGCCGATATGGATATAGTAAAATATAAAGCAAATGCCCCAAGTCCCCAACAACAACAGCTAATATACAAAATTGGCCCTCCTTTATTTATTTTATTTGTTTATTTGTTTATATAAAAGCTTGCATCAATTTATTATTTGATTTTGGAAAAAGGAAATCAAAATAAATTGATATGCACGCATAAGGAATGCGTAGAATTGAAACAAAAATGTGCTGTATGTTGTTGATGTTTGAAAAGTAAACAGTCTTTAATTTCATTTTATGAAATATATAATTAAAGAAATAGAGTGAATACAAAATCATTTGTTTGAAGACGCCATAGCCCATATGCCAAAGTTTTCCGATGTAAAACTCAGACCAAGTCAAAATTCTGCATTCAAAAAAGCTTTTAAGACGGTTTCTTTTAATTTCTTTTTTCTTTTTTTTTCTTTTAATAATAAGTTAAATAATTTAAGAATTTTATTATATAACGAGTTATTTAATTAAGTTTTTGTTAATATTAAGAAAATGGGAGGTTTACTTTCATCCTTAATGGTAATATAAAATCTAATTAGCACACCTTCATCTTTATAAAGTCCTTTTGTTGGATGAACAAAAAGGTATTACAAGAATGGGGTTTCTGAGTATATGAGGATTTAAAATTGTTTAAGAAGAAGAAATTTTTTAATCTTTTGAATCAGAACATATTAATTATTTTTACTCATATCTTTCTATAATAGAATAAAGCCCATCATTTCCTATATTTCAAGAGATTGGAATTGGTTTCAAACTTTGACTATTGATTCACAATGTAAGAGTTTTTTTTTTTTATGAAATTACAAATACAAGAGAAGTTATAATTATAATCAAATATTACGTCCATATATAATATTTGTGAGTTATTGTTTTTAATTGAAATTTTCAACATAATAATACATTTTAAAATTGTACAATATTTCATATGATTTACATTTTTGTTACAATAACTCACAAGCACCCTTGATAAAGTTTCATTTTCTTCTTTGTTTGATAAAAAAAATCATATTTTAAACCCAAACATTTCTTCCTCATTTTCTCCATAGATTTTTAAAAGATTAAATTTTCATAAGTTCGCTAAATTTGACATACATAAACCTATTTAAACCGATCCAAAGAGAGGATATACCGGATAAAACTAAAAAATCTCTTCTTTCTAAATAAGAAAAAAAAAGGGGGAATCTTTAACTTAAATATTAATTTTTACAGTAACACTTAGGCCAAGATTTGTTTGTTAAAGAAAAAAAAAAAAAGGGTGTGACCTATGGTTAATTTGTCTATGAGGGGAAGAGTGACGGGGTTTCTTACTTTCAATCTTTCATCGCCTTTTGCTCTCATAAAAATAAACTCAAACACCTCTCAAATACCTCACGGGGTTGTAGATTTTAAATTTAACTCTTTATTGTTATTTTATATTTCTGTTATTCTGAAAGGTGCATCTTATCCATTAAACAGCACAATTCTAAAAAGAATATCAACATATACTTTGAATAATTCCAAAAAAAATATAAAACTATTCGTGCATCACGTGAAGCAGAAGCTAGTGACTATAAACACAAGACTTCGCTTATCCAAAATAAAATTAAAAAAAAAAAGCCTATACATATGAGAGTAGTTCATAACGTACAAGCAAGACACAAAGTATTAAAGCATCACATGTAGTTGAAGCCAAAAAAAGAACTTCAACTTCTGTTTGATTTTTGATACTTATCGGCCTTTGTCATGATGATGGGTTTTGAAAGATTGAAAGTCATAACAAAGATGTAAGTGAGAAAAGGATTGGGGAGTTAGATTGTAGAAAAAAGGAGGAACAGAAATACAGGCATGAAACAAGCCATTAAAAAGAGGGTGCAAGTGTATAAGTACACCTACATTCCTGTCTCTCAATGGCAAAGTTCCAATATTTCTGCGTGGTCTGTTGGGAAATTGTCTTGCCTTCTTACTGTTTGTTATTTGTTATTGGTTGTTTATTTGTCAATCGTTGCGACAAGGACTCCAAGCTGTGTTGGTGGAATTTAAAGAAAAAATTTAGGGTTAGATCAGCCCCCACTTGTTCATTGTGGACTATTAACATAGGGAGGAGTTCATTTCACTTGTAATTCTTTTTATTATAATTTTATATTTATTCAATCACAATAAAAAATCATATTAAGGTCTACCACTTATAAATGTGGGTTTCATATAAAATTTTGATGGACCCTATATAATTTTAAATTGTGATTAATTAATTGTAATACAATGATTATAAGTGATATATTTTCTATGCAGATAATTAGAAAAAAATTATATATATATGAGTAAAAGATAAAAACATTGAACATATGATTACATAATTAACATTTTTTCTTTTTGATAAATCTCTTTTTTTTTTACTTAATTTAAACATAAATTCTAAGTCTTGAGTATTAGTATTAGTTCTAATTTAGGGTGTTTATTTTGGTTTTTGATATTTGAAATTGTAATGGAATTGAACAGTGTTCATTAAAATTAGAAGTTGAACATTTTATCAAGAGATCACACTATTATTGACATTAAAATATCTTTTTACAAAAATAAAAACTTTATGAGTAAAAAATTTATATGTATATGTGTTTGTGTCCCACTACATATAATCCAATTTTACAAGAAATTTTAGTATTTCTAATGTGTTATTCCTCTTGAGTTTGAATCTTGAAGGCTTTTAGAGATCTAAAGCTCCCTTGGAGAAAAAAAATTTAATATGCAAGATTCAATTAAGAGCCAAGGATGAAAGAATTTAAGTACTAAAAAACTTTAAAAGAATACCTGAAGGAAGATCCGAATCTTTGATAAATCACTTGATTCTACAACTTGATCAAAGGCATAAAGATATTAAAAGATTATAACTTTATCGCCTATTGGCCGGTTGGCACAATTCAAGTTAGAATTCAAGTGCAAGTTTGCCAAGGAAATATTAAGGCAATAAGAATTCAAAAGGAAACTTGTTGCCGATTATATGTTTACTCCATACGGAAGTTTAAATAGGTATTGTCATCAAATCAAAATAAATTTTAAGACTTACACGCAAAATCATGTGTGAATAAGTTTTGAAGGGTCATTTGTAGAAGGAAAAAAATTTTATTCAATTATGAAAGGTCACATGTGTAGTGAAATTTCTTTTAATATGTTAATTGAAGAATTTTTAAGTGACAAATTATTTAATATTAATGACATCATTTAAGTCAATCATATAATTAATTAATTTATAATTAATTTTGTCACTTAACAATTGAAGTTAAAATATTCTTGGCTCGACTAATTAAAATTAAAAAATTCATAATGTGGCCAATCAAAATTCATGTATAAGTCATCCACTTTATCTCTTAATTAAATTAA